AAAAAAAAAAAAAATCTCCTTGCTAAATACTTTTAAAATCTCAAAGTAAGTCTAAAAGTGAGTCACAAAGGACATGATCTTTAGCACAGTGCATACCTGCATGGCGTACGCCGCAGCATCTTGAGCTCTCACATCATCTGCGTAGGCTAGAAAGGCTCTGGTCAGCTCTGTCAGTAGTTCATAGGCAAAGTTTGGATCATCAATCCCACTCTAAAAGCATAAAGACATTCTCTTTATTCTGTGCCTAATACTTGGAATACATAAAATGCAAAGCTACACACTTAAAACACGATCTTCAAGATTCTGCTTGATACATACAGGAACAAAACTGTCTTACCACAAATGTCGAGCCAGTTCCCTGAGTGTCAGCAGGTGACAAATCAAGTCGACCGGGATCAATGGCTCCCAGCTCCCCCAGGCATTCCCCACACAAAAGCCTGGCTTCAGGATTGACGTCCTGGCAGCCCCGGAGCAACACCGTCACTAACTGAGAGATCACTGGCTCTACCATCTCACTGTCCAAGACATGCTTTAACAGAGCATCCTGTAGAACAAAAAATATACTGTAGATCATCCTTTCAGGATGTTTTATTTTAAGCCTGGCCGGCAACAATATGCTTATCTACACATTTTGTATTTACATACTTTATTATTCATTATACAAATGTAATCAACAGAGTAATTAATTGATGATATACAGACTCCTATACGTGTATTTGCATCCAAGCTGGCAACGCTTTCTTATTTATCAAGAGTGAGTCTAACCTGTTTTTTATACATCATCTCCTTCAAGCTGGTGAGCGCATGGATGCGTACGTCCACATTCTCATGCTGGATGGCCCGCATGGAGAGCTGCAGCACTGCCTGCATGTCAGTGCTCTTTGAGGTTTGCTGTTGTTGAAGAATTGCGAATCACAACCATAATTATCGAAGAAAATTTAATTTTGTTGAAATCACGTCACAATGTGCAGCACAACTGTCTTTTACATTGTTTTGTGTACATTGATGTGATGATTGCTTTGTTTAGGTTGTACCTTACGGTAATCTTGAAGGATCTTGTGAATGGTTTTCAGTTCTGGGTGGTCAGGAAGGAAGTAGATTTCATGAAGAAAGTCTTGCACTTCCTCCCTGAGATAAGAAGATACATTACAAATTATATTTTAGTATAATTTATTAGTGTTATAGTTTCAACGTTAAAATAATTTCTCCTTTAATATGCAGATACAACTAGAAATAAGCAAAACTGGCTCAGCCAATAGCATGAATTTGGGGCGGGACTATCCGTTTGTCCAACCAATGGAGGAGGAGGGGAGTGTTCAAACCTGATTTGAAAATAATTTTTGCAACTCACTTTGGTGACGTCAGTGGTGCAAAAATTACACACTGTACTTTTAATGAGTATGTTGTCAACATATTAATAAATAACATCTATAAAAATATCTAAAAACCTTATAAAACCAAATCTAGCCTACAACATAAAAGAGAAAGGAGGAATGACACACACCTGTTCTCCACTATGAGGTACTGCATGATCACTGCAGTCTCTTTAGGTTGGATGGAGATGAGAGGTAATAGAGCAACGATTACATGACTCAGAAGCGGACCCAGATAAGACGGGTCAAGACAGCGCACAAAACAGTCCCATGTCCTGTAAACCAGCAAGATGACAATAATGTTATTTTTTGGGCAAAGTGCAATTACAATTTCATCCTCTGGCCTGATTGCATATTAGATACAGATGGTTCTTGCTAAGCTTAAACGTTAAAATATAAATGCAAATCTGGTGTCCTGTTGAGTTCGCTGCAGTAATTAAAGAACAATCTAGATCATATCGGCAGCGCTCTCATGCAGATGGTGCTTCTGATACTCTTCATAATCGATGTGCACAGCTTCTTCTATACATTCAGACCGATCCAAATGAGAAACACACCTGCAGCAGAGCTCTGGGAAGTCGTCCTTGTACCT